TCGATCTTCAACGGTTATCGACGATCACATGAGGTCACACAAGCTCCGGTGGCCGAGTGCCAGGTCAACGGTGACAGATCATCGAGGTAAAAAGGACAGGTCACCGAAATTAGTACCTTTACTATTGCGAACATTTAGCTGATTTCGGATGTTAGGCTATGATAGCTTGAGCGCCCTGCTTATTTAGTTCTTTTATGAAACATCTCTTCGGTGAAGCAATTTGATGCGATAATCAGAAACACCTAATAACATAAGATTCAGACTTCGCAACCTGCATGACCTTCTCACATACCTCCAGATAACCTCGCGAGCGCTAGTGGAGAGTCACGTTCCTCAGGGCGTGATCATATCACCTCATACCTCCATCTGCGCGGCGCCGTGCGGCCCGTCAATATCGCCGCACGGTGAGCTGCCTCCGGCGGCTATAGCGCCTCCAGCGAGATGGTTTGACGTACGGTCACGTACGCCAGCGCTCACTCATCCTAGCCGCAATGGTGGGCCGTGGCCTCGGCAGGAGTCTGCGGCGCCGGCTATCGCGTAGCGCCTTATTGCAGTGTGTGAGGAGGCATGGGGCTGCCTATCGCAGAAGTGACAAGTAAGTGCTACCTGGTAGCTCATGCTTATTTTGATTATCACTCAAGATCCCCTGACAACAAGGCACTGGAGCGATTGGCATGGCTGAGTTGCCAAACATTGACACAAAGCCGCTGGGAATTCCGTATGGGGTGCTGCTGTCTCCGGGCGGTGTTTTCGTCGGGTGTTCGCTCGTTTCCCTGACAACCTGCGACAGGAGCCCTCATCCCCGTGATGTTCGATCCCGGTGACCCTTTATCTCCGCGGCCAGCGGCTGGTTGACCCTCACAGTGCCGGAGGGCACGGTCGTTTGTTTACCGGTCGGTCACCGGCCGCAGCGGGCCGGGGCGGCCTCCTATAAAGGCTCGACGCTGCCGGGTTGAGAGCAATGCAGCTCGGGTCGCCGTCCGGCGTCGGTTTGTCTCTGATCGAGCGAGGGATCTCCGTGCCGCCGCTATGGCTGTCCGGCCGACATCACGTCTTCTGGTGCTGTCCCTGCTGCCGCTCCTGGCTGGGCTGGTGGTCGTCGAGGCACTGACTTTACGTAAGCACCGGATGTAGGCTTTGCTCGGGGGAGTGAATGTCACGCTTTCATGTTCCGAGCCTTTGTGTCCGCACCCGTGAGCAGCAGTTAAGAGTTAGTTCCAATATTTTGATTAATTGTAATGTTTTATAGTTTATATATCTTACCTTTGTAAATTTTAAGTTCCACATGCCTGGTGATTACTTTGTTTCCTTAATGCGTTGCTCTCATTAAGTTTAGCGACTGTTGCAAATTGCAATATTTAATTCATTGAAACAAATTATCTTGAAAGCGCTCGACGAAAGCCCTAGATATCGTGCGCATTTTGCAGTTCTGGCGCTTGGAATTGAATTTTTCTGTGTGTAGAGTAACTCACAATTGAGTTTCAGCTAGTATGCTATTTCACTTTGGTCTCGTCGGAATTGCACCTGAATTTCGGGCATAGCTGTCAACTGGCATACCCTGAAACGTGTGCGCAAGCAGTGCGACATTTTGAAAATATCTAGCTGAAAATTGACGGCTGATATATGCTCGTAACGCGCACTTGCTCGTCGGCGCGTTGAATATTCAGCAAACTTCAGCACACCAGAATGGCGTGACCCAAATGGGATATCACCCTTTATTGGCTTAATATTCATTTACTTTGGTTACATATTTCTCAGACGTAATTTTGCCGAAATGGTTCGTTTGATATTGCGATCCGATGTGTACCTATCTGCAATAACTTTGGCTAGTGGGGGATGTGAGCAAAGGTATGTGAATTTCCAAAACCAAATGGCTGATCAACTTTGCTAGGGAACTTTTTTTTTTTTAGCGGCGTCCATAAATACAAGGTCATAGGTCATACAGCCAACCATGTATCAGCCACTTCGTGCTGCATTTTTGTCGTTTCACCGCTGATTTAGATTCTTGTCATGCATAGGTAAGCAATGCTTCTGTGTGTATATTACTCCAAAGTCGCTTTTGAAAAATTTGCTCATTACCTAAGGAATAAGTATACAATATTTATGTTTCCTAACTTTTACAGTGGCATGTGTTACGTTTATTCGCATCCTCGGCTATCTTGCCACTTGACCCGTAGGCTGACCTCTCGGCGCACTTAAATCACCACCGCTCCTTTCCTGAGTGGCGCCGACGCAGCGGACTTTGACCCAACCGGTCGACCTTTCGTAATCGGCTGCGACGCAGCACGCACCCTCCCCCGCCCTCCGACTTTTGACGGTCGGCTGTGTTTTGATCTTGTCCAGACGTTACGCCCATTCATTTTTCTGCGACTGTATGATAATAATGGGTGATCCGTGGTCTTCCGCGTTCTGATGTTTGCCAACATCCCACCGCTGAGCCGCGTAGCGCAGGGGCGGGGTCACTGGGAGGGTCAGGGCACGTCTCTGTGCCGCCGTGCCGAGATGATTGGGTCGCAGCGACGTGCCGACAGTCATACGGGCTGCTGGCGATTAGACCCGCCCCTTCCCCTCCCCTCCCCCATGGCGTGGCGGCGCCGCTGCGGGTCGGTGGCAACCGCAGGTTGTCGCCCCCAGAGAGGGCATTACGGCAACTCGTGTGCCATGGTCTTGTTCATGCAGGGAATCGGGCATGTGCTGTAGAGATATTTGCTTACAGGACGATGTGGTGTGTGTGGCACGGGCTAGAGAAGAGAAGCGGGTTTGGTTACTCCGGGCGATTCTGAGAGGCATTGTTCCTGACTTGGTTGGGTGCCGCGTTATATAATAATTTCTTTTCCTTTCCATTCCTTCTGAGCTGATACGACGGATATCGAACGCTGTCGGATCTAGTTTGCTGATGGAGATTTTCCGCAAACCGATACTGAGCCCTTTCAACTTTGAATTGTGTTGACTTGTTCGCGTGTTGTTCCGCATACCGATCGGCCTCCTCTGCGATCTGAATTCGGTAGCGTTTTTCCGCGGGGATTCGGCTGGCTGTGAGAGGTCCGATCTCGTGCGGTGGGTTTCGCCCGACCTCCGCGGCTCTGTCTGAGCCGCCTCTCGGCAGCACCCCGGGGACACTATGCAATAACACGCGCCGGCCCTCATTCGGCCGGGTAGTTTGGCCGGCGCCGTGCCGAGCTGCGTTCCAAATGGTGACAACGCAATGCAGATAACGCGCTGAAAGGGTGCTGAAAAGGTGCTGTGCGACCACAATCACTGAGTCTAGAACGGTGAGGAACCTCGGAGTGACGATGGACCGTCATTTGAGTTTTGAGCCGCATGTCGACAGCGTTACACAGAAATGTACTGGCATGCTCATAGCACTGATGCATGTACGTCATGTTGTGCCGAGGTCTGCCTTGAAGTGCATCGTCCAGTCACTAGTGATCTCGGTATTGCGATACTGTTCGTCCGTCTACGGATCGTGCGGAGAGACGCAACTTCGGCGGCTCCAAAAAGTACTGAACTTCTGTGCCCGGGTCGTGTCGAACAAGCGGCGTCGCGACAGTGTGGCATCTGTAATGCGCGAATTGAAATGGTTATCTGCCAAGCGACTAATTGACTACCACACCGTGTGCGCTGTACAGCGAGCTATCGTGTCTTCCCAGCCTGAGCGACTGAGCAGCACCATAGGGCGCCAGGCGAGCAATCGCCACCAGCACGACACAAGGCGCGCCAATTTGCTCACGCTCCCGTCCATTCGGACGGAGGCAGGCCGACGGCGGCTGTGCTACAGGGGAGTGGCACGACTCAACCAGCTCAAAGTTGACCCAATTGTGTCATCTTTCAGAGCTAACGCTATGAAGGTGCTGCGAGCAATGCCTGAACAAGATGCTTAGATTGTGTGTGTGTCTATGTTGAGCATACGTACTGTGATTTGTGAATGCGTGGATGTGTGCTCGATATACTCCCCCTCCCCATGATATCCCCCATCGTATGACGTGAGCTTGTGAAAAGCCACTCCAATGTGTGGATCTGGCTCGAATATATCTGTATCTGTATCTGTATCTGTATCTGATGGGGTCGGGACGGACGCTGATGATGCTGGGAAAACGAGAACTTTGTCGAGATTGCTCCACCAAGCGTGCTATTGTAAACATGTTCAAGTTCAGCCAGATACCTGAATCGTAATCTAGTTTTTCTGTTGACTAAAATAACATTGAAAAGTGTACTTTGAAGAATCTTTTGGCGTATTCTTCCCATTGCTTCAAGTTTCTTTTCTTCTTTTGTCGACAAGTCCAGTCGAATTGAAGCTTGAACGAATTTGTTTCCCTGCATTATTGCACCGGCTCGAAGGCGAATGCTGTTTTCTGTGCTCGGAAGATTGTACATATTTACGATGTTCGAAGTTTTGTAATACCTGACGTCTTCTTCGTAAAGCAGGCTGAGAAAGGTCATGTAGACTTCCGGAATGTTTTTCATTTCAGTTTGACGCTGAAATAGGTAGGTACTTCAAAGAAACTATTTCAATTGGCCGTCAAAGGCATGCCTTGTTGTCCCTCCAAAACTTGTCACAATGCCGACTTTTATAAAAGTTTATTTTGTAGGGCAGGTAACCTATAAAAAGGTTAATCATCTGGACAATCGGTCCGTTGCATTCCTCGCCCTATAGACGTCTTTGATTATTTAGAATGTAGGTAACTGAAAGTTGAAACTGCCTTGTATCGGCCCGTTGTGTATAGTTTTTCTAGCAACAGGCGCCACGCACAAAAAAATGCAGGAATTCTACGTTGCAATCGAGCTTGCAGCCATAAAAGCATTTCACTTCTCACCCTACTCTTTCATAAAGCAGGCAGGCTTATGTGTACAATTTCTTGGTCATGATAATTTTTTATCTTTGTCTTTCTGTTTAAGCTCGGTCCCGTTTGACGTTCGCTCATGAAACTGTTGGTTTAATGTAACACCGTGGTCTCAGGTGTATAATGGCTGTTTCTGACGATTATGTATTTTTGTTACAGCCAAACCGGTCGAGTGTGACGACACCCAGTTCAAGTGCGGCAACGGTCGCTGCATCATCAAACGCTGGCAGTGTGACGGTGATGATGACTGCGAGGACGGTAGTGACGAGGACCCCCAGCTCTGTGGTGAGTACAGGAGCGGTGACTGCGGCTTTTCCCAGCGATGGGCGGTCACGAATGGGTGCGAAAATGCACGAGATTTTACCTGATTGCCGTTGATATAAATCAAACTTCACTACCGGAGAGTAAAAAATGATTTACTTGTGAAAAGTGGTTAATGTGTAGCAAGTTCATTATTCCTGTGTTTTTGCTTTAAATTTTTGCTTAAATTTGATAATAACTATGCTTGATTATTTCCTAAATGTCTGATGTGTTGGGCCTTATCTGTTGTGCTTTCTCAGTTCATTCCCCTGCGTGAAGAAGCTACTGCTGTTGGTCTGTGTCTAAGTTGTCCTCTCTGTTTTCAAAATGTTTATTTTGTGGTCGCCAAATCACCACTCCTCATCCCTTATCCTCACGTTCTTGTCCCAGCTTCTTATCGCTTCTTATCCATCCTTCACTGGACCACCATCCGCTCACCAATGCCCCCCGCCGCCACTGCGGGCTGTTTAACAAACGGTGCCGACTGCCGACTGCCGGCGGTCACTCCGATAAATCTGCCGATAGCGTTCAGTGGCCGCGTTTAACCGGGCAGTCCGTCTCCGGCCGTCGAGCCCCGCTCTCCCCCTCTCCCGCTCTCCCGCCCGCTCGCCTGCCCAGCAGTGAGCCTGGCCAGGCGATCCCCTCGGTCGATCGCCCAGCTATCCTTCCACGATCGAACAGAGCCCGGTGGGGGCCGGCAGACGTCCAAAACGAGCCCGCAGTGACGGGTGACATGTTTTGGTCGCTGCAAATGTCTCATGTCCATGTTGGCACGTGGAATTCCCTTATGATGTGTCACTTCAGTGCATTATGTCGTTTGCCGGTCGTTCCTCTGTTGGTGTTGTGGCGACTCGAGTCTCGAGAGGCTCGAGTGTTGTTCTGGTGCCCTGTTGGTGGCCATCCAATAATGGTCTTATTGGCAGCCGTGCTGACAGAGGGCCCGAGGACCGACGAGGTGTGTGCTTTGTGCCGGACTTGTGTGTTCCGGCCACTAAATTGGGCTTGACGACTGTGAACGTACGGAACGGTGTTATTTCAGCTTCAATGTAACCCCGAAATGTGTTGCTGGTCGTTGTACTCTAAGGTGTTGTGCTGTGTTGTGCTTTGTTTTGTGTTTTTATGTTTGACGCACCACCCTGTGCGTTGGTCATACCGGATCGTACCGTCCTGTCTCTGTTAGTGTCCACCGTATGCCTCCCTGTCTGCTGTATCACTGTGTATGTCTGTCGTACCGTTCTCCGTGTCTGCCGTATCGTTCTCTATGTCTGTCTTACCAATCTCCGTGTCTGTCTTACCATTCTCCGTGTCTGCCGTACCGTTCTCCGTGTCTACCGTACCGTTCTCCCGTATATCGGCTGGAGTGTGTCCGCCGTGTTGCAGCGGCGAGGCAGTGCAGCGACGAACACTTTCGCTGTGTTTGTCTGAGGCACCTCTCCGTGTCTGTCGTACTGTTCTCCGTGTCTGCCGTACCGTTCTCCGTGTCTGTGGTACCGTTCTTCGTGTCTACCGTATCGTTCTATCCCCGTGTCGGCTCTGCAGTGTGTGTCCGCCGTGTTGCAGCGGCGCGGCAGTGCGGCGCCGAGCAGTTTCGCTGCGGCGCCGCGGACGGTGTGGTCCAGTGCGTGCCCGCCTCTTGGCGCTGCGACGGACAGGCCGACTGTGAGGACGGCGCCGACGAGCTCGGCTGCTGTAAGTGCCGCCGTCGCCGTCCATGGGTGCCCCTCTCCCCGATCTAACCCGCTAACGACCCCGACCCGACCTGACCGACAGCGGCGCGCGCCTGTGCCGACGACCAGTTTGCATGCCGCGGGTCGGCGGGCGAGTGCGTGCCCGTCGTGTGGCTGTGTGACGGCGCAGAGGACTGCAGTGACGGCAGCGACGAGGCCAACTGTAGTAAGCAGCTCTCCTTCCCGGTCACAGCGCCCGCCGGACGGGCCGTCACCTCTCTGTATATCTGTCTGTGGTGCAGTCACCTCTCTGCTTTGTGTATCGCTCTGTCTTCTGCCCCGCTCGGCCCACCTCCTCGCCTGTAGAGCACGGCCACTCGGTCTCTCACACACTAACGCACGTCCCGGCCTGTACCGTAGTCGCTGCACGTCCCGTCCGTGTCTCTGCCGAGAAACGACCACCCGGCGTCGGATCCTGTCGACGCTTCCCCCCCCCCTCTCTCCCCCATCCACTCGGCATTTCTATAGGCTTCTGAAAAGGCACGCTGGTGGTGTCGTCTCCTTTTGGCCTTCACGGCTTGTATGGGCTCGTGTCTCTGATGCGAGTCGTGCGAGCGAGCAAATGGGCGACTACCAAAAGCTGCGAGCGTCAGCCTGCGCCGTTTAATAACGGTCGACGGATCGTGCTGCCGTCGCTGGTAGTTTATGGCCCCAGTTGATCCCGGCTATATTGGCTGGAACTATTTCCTGTTCTGGGAGCCGATTGCTGTCCGATTATATAAATCTCCGCCCGATGTATTGCCGGTAACTGTCTGTTGCCAGCGCTCCATCAGCGGTTTGGCCGGTCGGATGGCGCCCGACCAGCTCTAACACCTCGCCGTGCAATAAATAATGCCGACGCCATAAATGGGGTTCGCAGCTAAGCCGATCCATTTTTCATGCCGGACACTAGGGCCCATTATGGCAGAGTGTTGCCACTTAAATCGCGAGCTGGCCCAGCCGGGACCCCGGAGCGGTGCTGCGCGTCGTGCCAATTCAGCAGAACGGCCCAGCGGCGGCGGCGGAGGCTATGACACCTCTGGGAGGCAGGCCACCGGCGGCTGTTCATCCTATTGGTTCCAGAGTAACCAGGACACCGTGTCGTGGGCTCCCAACAGGCTGGTATTGACAGCTCTTAGCCTGAACTTAGCTCGGAACACGACTCCGCCGGCTGCATAATTGGGACCGTCTGAAAGGCGCTCCTGTAAGTCAGTGTGAAGTGTGAACCTGTACATAATTGGATTCCCACCGGCTTGCCGGTCTCATATCGCTCGTCTTTTTATGACGACAAATGACAGACGACTTGTCACGGCCGTCCTCGTGACTGGCTCTTTGCCTCGTCGGGCGCCGCTTGGCCGTAACGGGCCATCTCGTTAGGCCGGCACGGTATCGTCCCGAGGGGCGCAGTTGGCCGCCGCCCACTAACAAATGACCACTGGCCGTCTGCCGGATGACCTCTGGGTCGCCGGTGGTCGTCTGCCTCCCCCCGGGGGGACATCGGTGACCGGAAGGTCAGCAGGAGCTCTTCCGCGCACTCAGTCCCTCTCGCCACACAGCTCAGACTCGGTCGCTGCAGGAGAGTCGAGTGGGAAGTCTGGAAGGCCTCTTCTGCCAGCTCAATCGAATTAGGGCTTGCCTTTTGTCGACGGACGGCCGTCGTTGCGCCCTGAGTGGAATGGACGGCACCGCTGTGCTTCGGGCCGTAAAACCGCGCCGTGCGCCGCGCCGACAGTTGGCGACACTGACGGCCCCGCCGGGCGGCATACGGCGGCCCAGGGGCTCGTGTGCAGACCGGTACGGCCGCATTGCCGAGCCTGCCGCTCTTCCGCAGCTAGGCCACGAGTCGAGACGGAGGCCAGACGGCCGGCACCGGGTCAACGTGGGCTGTGGAAGAGGATCGAGATGCAGCGATGGGCGCTCTCCGCGGGCTGCCAAACTCTGCTCTCTCGGCGAAATAGAGGCTGCTTTTCGTTCGAGTCACGTGCTATTGGCTGTCGTTTTGTTGGGGACTGTCTGAGACCACTGTGCTGGCGTCTAGCTGCTATTGATGAGCTAAGTAGCCGTTTCTGTGAGCGATGGGACAGTTAATCGCCATTTTGGATTAACGGAACGCCTTGGGAAATGTATTAAACTGAAATGGTTTGGCTGAAGCACATCGGAAAGTCAATGGTCAGGTCGTCGAGGCTGTCTTTAGATTTATTGGTACCGATTGCTGCAAATGTAAACTCGATAGCTTGGACTTTCCCTTTTACTGCATCTTTAGCATGTCTGACTGGGTCCTGGTCTCCGCGGTATGCGCGGAATTTATTTCTGTTCTGTATCATACATACTAGTTTCTCGCGTTTATCGTAACACAAGATGAACAAATTTCAATTTATCGCAACATGTTTATCGCAACATTTTTGCCTCGATTTATTGCATCATCTAGGATGTTGCAATAAACTTGTGCATCTTTTAATGAAAGGTTTTGCCTATCTAGGAAGAAAAAATTCGGATATGTTCCTTCATGGATTGAATCGCTGCGTCGCTCGCCGGTGAGGCACGGAGGTTGAGATGCTGGAGGGACGGACATGCAATAATTCTTGAGGTGTACCTATCAGGTGCACGATGGACAGATTCGGTGCTTATCTTACGTTTATTCGCCTATTGTGGCATATGTTCCCATCAATTAATAGTCGAAGTCGAGCACTCGCCGGCCAAGGGGGGGGGGGGCGGGTGCCGCCCCCATACTTTTTTTTTGGCAATAGCTCGGAACACGCCCGCGATGGAGAGCTGAAACTTGGCATACCTGACCTTTGACTCAAGCCGGATCTTGTGAGATCAGCCGTATTTTCAGCTCAGGTCAGGTCAGTGACGTGACCTATAACATAAGTGAACCTATGCACGGTCCTCAGATGTCGCAACTTCGCAACGCCCTCAGTGCTAGAGGAACTTTCACAGGGAGATGAAACTTACGAAGATGTAAGTTTTATCTGTGAGACCTTCAGAGGTCTCACAACTTGTATATATCTCTGATCTTTTCCTAAAGGTCACACGTGGTTAGGTCGGTTACGTGACCTCACCATTATTAAGTCAATGGGTAAATATGAAAACTGCTATTTTGGCGCCGGGAATGATCTAAAACTATCCCAAGCACATGGAATCAGGCGCATACCTAGAATTTTGCCAAGGGATGGGGGCGGAGGAATCCCGGGTGGGCTCCTTTCTACAGAGGGTCTCCTCTCTAAAGGGGCCTCCTCTCTACAGGGGGCCTCCTTTCTACAGAGGGTCTCCTCTTTACAGAGGGCCTCCTACCTTCAGAGGCCTCCTCTCTACTGAGGAGTCAGAGGGGCCCTAGCGGTCAGACACAGACACTAACGGTTATTCACAGGAGGCCCCAGGAAGTAAGAAGGACCCTAGCTGTCACTTGTCAGGCTGGTCAGAGGGCCCTGATTGTCCTGACGTGTTTTTTTTTTGGGGGGGGGGGATTCCCGTGAATTTCGTTCGCCTCCGACGTGATTTTAACCAACGTGGACCTTCGGCCCACGGGGCCCTGATTCCATCTGGGGCCTCCTAAAAAACCCAAGGGGGGGGGGGGGCGGACGCCCCCCGTTGGGTACGTCCCTGCATGGAATCGTGATTTCATGCACTCCTTGCAAGGTCCGATGCTTCACTATTGCATTGTTGACCTTGCGTGACGTCATTTACGACGTCACTAGGGTCATAAGAGTTTTTCGTCAATAACTCCCGATCAAATTTAAGTAGAGAGTCGGGAAAGACACCATTGGACTCGGGAAGACCTGCAGAATCGAATGCTATGCAATATGATATCCTTTGATCAACTTCGTGACTTGAGGCCTGAGGGGCTCCATGACCTGACCTTGACTCGAGGTCTACACCTTAACCCGGCCGGGCCCGGGGGGTAATCCCAACCACCGCAGCCCGGGGGGCGTTTTTCGCCCCCCCCCCCCCTGTCTAACTCCGTAAATAAGGGAGCTACGGTAACAGAAGCGATACCAAACGAAAGGTCCTTACGAGACGATTCTAAAGCACCTAAAATTTTGACCTCAGGTCAATTTTCAAGGTCAGAGGTCAAGGTCAAAGGCAAAAACCGGCACATGTGTAGTGATCTCAAAGTAAGCCTTCTAGAGGACGGCAGGCCGCAGGCAGCATCAAACCGGAAAAATTGGGTGTCAAACGAAAGAAGAGAACCTGAGGATTTCGAAAATGTGCTCAAAATCAAAGGTCAAGGTCAATGTCACGCTGAAAAAAAAACGACGCGAGCCCATGTGTAACGAGAGAGGCGATACGCCATTCGAAGTGGAGTAAAGCGTGCTTCAATCCAAGATAAATAAAATCAATCAAATCACATAAATTCAATCCAAGCACATACAAATAAAATGTTTGTAAGGTGCCGAAGTTCAATGGACCATTTCTGCGGTCAATAATGAAGGCAATATGACGATAAAGTCCAACTGAGATAATCGTTGGCACGGATGTGGCCAAAATCGGGCACGAGCAGGACCAGAATTTGGCGCAACTGTATATCACGAACGGGATCCAATGCTGGAACGAACGGCATCAGCGTCAGGCTCAGCACCATAAGCTGGTACAAATGGTGAGGCAATTCAGGCTCGAACTACAGAACAGTCAAGCATAACTAGTAACTACCGTAATCTAACACGAACAGTTATGAGACCCGGCACCAGAACCTGGTACAAACGGCACCATTTTGGACTGGAGAGCGTACCGTCACCAGGCACGAACGGTTCCAGAATATGGCGCGATGGTATGTACATCAGGAAAGAACGTTACCATAACCTGGCACGAACGACATAGGATCAACCATGGAGACCAGAATCAGACACGAACGGTAAAACATAATGGACAATAACGGGTATGCAACGGCGCAGAGCAGTTGAGAGGCCACCAGCGGCGTCCGGCAGGAGCCGAGCCGGTCGGCCAGCGCGCCGTCGAGCCGCGGGCTGGCGCCGCCCGTCAGCGCCAGCCCCGCCTGCAGCTCGCCCACCGACGGGCTCCGTGTGGACATGTGCAGCGTCACGCCAACGGCAGCATGCCGCTACGGTGCAAAAAGGTTCATTTTCTGACGACTGACAGTGTATTTCAATAAGGACACAAAAATGCAGCTGCCGGACTGGCCACCCTTTGCCGACCACACATGGACCGACGGCATCGGGCGCTGCCACTGGACCCTAGCACAGACTCGATCGGATCAACACAATCTTACACCAGGCACACAACACACAACGGATCATGGTACTCAAGTCCGTGCCATCGGTGTCACTCAACAAAAACGGTGCTTCTGTCTCAATGTAAAACTCAATGTATGTACTTACTGACGCCGCGGGCGGCTCCGGGCCGCGAGTCCCATCCGGACCCAACCCAGCACAGCCCAGCCCCCGGCCCGATTCAGCCCTATCACCGGGCACCGCTGCCAGTGCCGAACAGGGAAGGACGGACACCAGAGAACAACTGATGACAACGGACTTACGAGAACTTACAGCATCGAAACCATTATGAGGAAACACGTTATCGAGATACACAACAACCCATACACACTTCACACGCCATCTTGACGCTCACGACTCCGACGTACGCTAGGCCGCTGGCCACCCTTTGCCGACCACACATGGACCGACGGCATCGGGCGCTGCCACTGGACCCTAGCACAGACTCGATCGGATCAACACAATCACTAGACTTACACCAGGCACACGAGACACAACCGAACATGGTACATGCGTCCGTGCCATCGGTATCACGCAGCAAAAACGGTGCCTCTGACTTCTGAGCTTGATAACCAAACTCAACAAAAACGGTGCTTCAGAGCTTGACAACCAAACACCGGACACGGCCAGCAGGACCTACTGCAGCGCCTCGAGCGATCCTGACATAGGCCATGTGGCGGCTGTTCACTGGCTGCCACAGAGAGCACTGCTGACGTCGCGGGCGGCATCGGGGCGCGGGCAGGCACATGTATTGTCGCCGCGGGCGGCATCGGGGCGCGGGCAGACACATGTATTGTCGCCGCGGGCGGCATCGGGGCGCGGGCAGACACATGTATTTGACGCCGCGGGCGGCGCCGGTCCCCAAGTCCCGTCCGGACCCAACCCAGAACAGCCCGGCCCGGCCGCTCCAGCAGCTCACTCCTGAGGGCAGGGACCACCGAACTGATGTTAGTTACGCCGTGAAATCGGACGGAGTCATGGAGCTATGTGAAGGAAATACAATATTGAGCCTATTACGGTTTTCAAAAGCGTTTTTTCAGCGACGCGCTAGCTCCACCAGGGGCGAAACGGCGAGGGGGTCGTACCCCCCTCGGCCGGCGCGTATGTAGAAAACCAATAGGTCCGGCGAGGGTTAATACCGCTGGAATTTGGCTTATTGAAGTAAAAAAATGCGGTTGGAGCTCTGCTGGCTCCAGTTCTATGAACTCAAAAATAGGTCACCTTATCCACACTTACATAGTTATGACAATGAACATTGAAGAACTAACTGACGATTGACTCAGTTAGTATCAAGGAGGAATCATCCCTTACACGCCTAAAATAAGCAACCGAATATAGCGCATCGCAACAAACATACGCGCCAAGTACAAAGAAGTGCATCAATACATTGTCAATACTTACTGCCTTCTGTTTAAGTTTGTACATCTTGCATCTTATGTCATTCAGATTATGGCCGTTGAACGGCTCCCTCTTGTACAGGTCTCTGAGGTCATCCATACTGGGTACCCGCCCACCGCGGGCTTTCAGTATCGCCCGCAGTCTCTGCACTTCGGGCACAGACCACTTTACATATCGCTCTGAAAAAATAAAGAAATGTTAACCCTGTTATACGCCTTGACTAGCCTGAGGCAAGTTTTTTACCAGCGCCGTGACGCTCTTCCAATCACAATACATCGATGGAAGGACAAGGGTGCATTCACAACCTTTCTAGTCAGGTAATGGGCCGCCCTACAGTTATACACGTTGTCAAAGGTGAAAATTATTCTATTGTGACACCGTTGACGAACTTCCTGATAGACAAAAAGGTAAAACACAACCAATTACTGGTTGCTTTAAATGATTTTCTCACAGCACAAAATATTTAACCTCAGGCCATCACCTTTGTTTCAAAGAGTTAACTTTCTAATTACATACTTATTCGGAAACACTGACGCCCGGTGTGATACCGACTTTACATCTGTTATACCCGCATGATATACTTTCGTCTGCTCCGGGTGATTTAGTGATAAATAGCAGACATGGTTGTTTAGTTCAGCACTGCTTAGCGGGCATCAACCGGGTAAACGGGCCTACCTAGAGCGTCCAAACAGTGTTGCGGTAGAGCATCTCATCTTCCGTCGGAGAGGCCAACAGCCTGGTGAGACTACTACAGAATATGTGTCCGCTTTGCGAGCACTAGCCAATATATGTTACTTCAGGACGATAAATTAGACATCGGCAGCCACATCAGCCGCACAGCACCAGCCGACGTCCGGCGCTCGGAAACGGAGGAACATCTGGCCACCCTTCCAGACGACGCCGTGTAGGTATGGAGCGACGGCTCGGCGGAGGGAGGTGTCTCAGCCAGAGGGAGTGAAGCGTTGATAATCCTCCCCTCGGGCGAGGAACACGAGCTCCGAGCCCCCGCAGTCAAGATATGCAGCAGTACCCGCGCTAAGCTGGTGACGATCCGCGGGGCTCTGGAGATGCTGCTACAGCTGGAAGGCGGCCCGGCGGAGAGCCCAGTCATCGTCTGCTCAGACTCGCAGGCGGCGCTCGCCACGCTGGCGAGTGGTGCTGGGAGTCAGACGACCGACGGCACTCGGTGCCGCCGTATGGCGACTGCTCCTGACTCCGAGTCCTCATACAGTGGATCCCGGCACACTGCGGAATACCCGGCAACGAAAGGGTGGACGTGCTGGCTAAAGTGGCCTCCAGCATGTCGCAAGCCGCCGTCCCGATGGACGTCCGCTGCTTCGTAAAGGCTGATTGTTTGAATTGGACAATTGAATTGGACAATCATATACGAATTAATTTCGTGAAGGCTGTCAGCCTTGGCCGCTCCGCCACCAAGGCATGGCATCGCAGCTGGACAGACAGCATCTTCAAAAAACATTATGGGAGACCGGATGCCGATGCCGGTGCTTCTGGTGTCTCGGGACGAGGCGGTTAACGTCCACCAGCTGCGGGCGGGACACTGGAGCCACTCGTAGAGTTATCTGCGCAGGATCGGACGCCACCCCGAGCGCGAGTGTCCACAGTGCAGCGACCTGGCCTGCCCAGTGCAGTGGCGCGCTGCCTGGTGTGCCGCGAGGGTCCGGACACACCGGAGCGCGTGTTGCTCGGGTGCCCATGCTTGGCCGGAGCGAGGCTCCAACTACTCGGAAACATATGATCGGACCCTACGCAGCTTTGGGACGGCGGTGTCGTGGCGGCCTTCAGCCGCGGCTACCTCAGTCACCGAGAGCCGTTGGGCTACGGCCGGCCATGAGCCGACCCGCGGAGAACAAGAGCAACAACTTCAGGACGATTGAAGATAAGACGATCAGATACCTCGTGGTGGAACAGATCCTGCATCATCATCTAGCGAAGTTCCTGCAAGACGGTGCCCTCACCCTGGAGAAGGTGCTCGATTTGTGTGAAGCCTACGAGCGTTCAATCCTCCAGTCGTCTGATGGCTCGTCATGAACACAACGCAGTGGCTAATATCAGCCGACAGCCGCGGTTGACAGAACACCCAGCATCTGTAGAAGGCCATGCGGGAGCTAGGGGCTCGCTGACCATGCCAACAGCCAGGGCCCCTCAGTGTCCTGCCAGACGAGTGACCTGACGCGTCTGTGGAAGGAAGTCACTATGCTGCAGTCGGAAAGAGGAAGTTAACACGAGTGAAGAAGGCCACCATGGCGTTTCATGTGTTGCAGTGCAAGGTAAACACCTGCAGTAAGTAAGGTGACCGGCCCTGTCATCCTGGAGGCAGAGAGGCGTAGGCAAGCGATGACACTTACGGTGGATGCTGGTGAAACCTGCTCGACCTTGAGACTTTAGTGCAGAGTACGTCTGCCGTCTCTAGGGATGCACTTACGAGCCATCCACATCCAACCTCCTCAGGTTCGGGAGAATGCATTTCAGCGTGACAGGTAAATACTCTGCGACGTCTGCGTGCCACAGCCCGGTACCAGTCGGTGGATGCCAGCCTCTTCCTGGTGGATACATGGCCGCTGCGGAAGCCATCACAGGCCTGGGTCTGATGCAAAGCTGGGTGTCACCATTTCCCAACATCAGGTGAGGTCTTCACCATACAAGAGGAGGGGGATGCGATTCTCCCGACCATCAATGGCTACCAGCATTACAGCATCCTCGTCCCAAATGTCCCATCCTCGTCCCTAAGCCCACGGACTACAAGCTGCGCCGTCTTTTGCTCTCTGTTCGAGATGAGGTGCAGGAGGAGCGGAAGACATCGTGGAGAAGATTGAAGCGTCCTCATGGGTGAACCCGCAGGTCTTCTCTCGCAAATTCAACGGGCAGCGTTGACATCAGGTGGCCCAACTCACATATTGTGGCTGAGATATATCCTCTTTCGACAATCGAAGAGTACCAGGCTCGACTTCATGGCAGAGTCTACAGCAACATCGATCTCCGGTCGGCATGTGAGCAACTGGAACCCCATCCGGAGAGCAGGAACATCAGCGTTCATCTCGCACGGTGAGTTGATACGATTTCTGCAAATCACCTCCGGCCTGGTCTCGACAGACTCTGCTTGCCAGAATCTCCTTCACAACTTGTTAGGGAGCTCAGAAGTTTCCTCTCGCTGACTTGCTGGTCGAATCGCTCCATCCCAGTCTGCGCTTACATCCGACAACTTGCTGTGATTCTACGGAAGGAGTGCTGTTCGAGTGGATGGGGGAAGAGTCAAGGTTCCAGACCATCAAAAATGGTACCGAGCAGCCCGGTTCTGACGCCCTTAAACCGAGACCTACCGACAGTGGTGACGTCACGGCCACGCGCATCCGAATCATTCATTTGATAGCACTGCTGGGTGCTGGTGCCATCATGTCACAGCTGTCCTGACGGCTCAGTGCTTTGTCCTGACGAGCGGTGCTCTTTGTCCGACCGTGAGGCCCTCAGTGCCGTGCAAGCAATGGAGCGGTGGAACGTCTACCTCTGAGGGCGACGTTTAACACTCCGGACTGGCCAGTCCGTGATGAACACGCTCCTCGCCTAAGTTCTCAGACTGGGCGGGAGCACCTGTTGCTAGGTGGTAGGCTCGAATGCTACCGTACGTCTACGAAGTGACGAGCGCCCCTGCCAGCAGGATCACTGTCGCTGACGCACTGTCACGCCAGCGGCTGTCCACTACAGGGCCCGTAGAAGAAGCCGATGAGGAAAAGGTCGTCATCTGCGTCAGGGGCGAACACCTATCACCGCTAACGGAGAAGAAGGTTCGAGAGGCAGCTGTAAAGGACCCTGAGGGGTGTTCACGGGCACCGCACACTGCTGCGTGCGGTGTGTGCGGTGCGTCCAGCAGGCGTGGGGGTAGGGGATGGGTAGGCGGCTCTGACGTCACGGCTGCGTGCGGTGAACGATCCGCTGTGGCCAGTCCCGACCGGCCACAGCGGTCGCTGTGTGCGGTGACGGAAGGCTGACGTAGGGACGCAGTGGGCGGAGCTTGGAGGCTGTGTGCGGTCCGACCGCACACAGGGCCCGTGAACAGCCCTCAGCTCTCCAGCAACTGAGTGACGTCATCCTTTCCACTTCAGCAAAACTCGTCCCCTGCTGTCATTTCGGAATTCGGCAACACCGTGAGACTTGCTATAGGCATGTCGTGCCACTCTCCGTATCTCAAATCGTCCATTTGATACTGATGTCCATTGATACGGCTTTAAAGATGCTTCAAAGACGGCAAAAACCCATACGTCCTCGCGACCGAACAGGATAAACTCAATGCAGACAGCATATAACCACATGTCAAAAGCCCTCACGTCGTCCTTGTGTAGTGTAGCGACGTATTGGGTTTTGACGTTGCAAGCATTTCATAATCTGCAAGAACGTCTATGGGTTTACCGACGTGGATTTTGTCACTGGCACATAGGTTAGCCATGACGTGTGGGTTTTCGCCGACGTAGTGGGTTTTGACTGTGTCACTTCCGTGCTTTTCAAAGACGTGTGAATTCCAAAATTTGTTTTTCCTCTCCCAAAAAGCTTTTTTTGGTTTTTGAAAAAAAATCCTCATGGCATGAAATAGAGCTTTGCAAGCTGGTCACAATGGTGTAAAAAACGAAAAATGACCCAAAATTGACATGTGGGGTTTTGACTTTGGACGGCAGAATGTGTTGGACTTGGTGCTTCATGCTTCCTTGTCTGCCGTTTTCTTTGTTTGTTAGCCATTGCCGCAAGATACATAGGTGCCTCTACTATCGAGTCTAAAAAATCGGGAGGGGCAAACCATCAACATTTATTGTTTCTTTGCATATAAAAAGGTATACAAATTTAACAAAGAGGGTATTTAATGCAGGAAATTTCAATACGTTTATGAAAATAATGCAACACGTAAAGCTGATGCAGGCGATGTAAGGCGCCAAACCTTTCACTTACTTTTTTTGCGGTCCTTCTTCCGCTGTTCATGGCCTGTGGACATTAAAAAATATAGTTAACATTAGGAATAGAACCACTTAACCATGTAATTCTGTTAACATTACATGGTTATGCATGAGAACATAAATTTGGCCGGGGCGTCGCAAGTCCATCTACGACACGTCGCAAGTTACGACACATGTCCCGTCGCAAGTTGTGTCGTAGCGAAAAAGGAGGGATGTTGAGGAAAGAGGGGTTTGTCGGAGGATACGACAGAACGTAGCTACGACGAGGCTTAAATACCCGCTTTACTCGAGAATTTAACCCGCGCACCGACGGGGGGGGGCGGATATCCGCCCCCCCTGAGGTTTTTCGCGAATAGCGGGAAAACCGTGGCGCGTAGCGCCGCGAAATTTGGTATGACTATTCCCTTATCAATTTTACACATGGTGTGCAAGTTTGAACCTCCTACCTTTCAAGGTCAGGTCACCAGGTCACTTTGAATGACCCAACCTCAAGTCACTTTTTTGCAACTTTGTCACCGTGCCAGAGCTACAGTAGATGTCGGAGGCCTTTGAAAGTCGCAGGATGTTATTAGGTCATTAGTAGCTACAATTTGTATATCTCGGAATTTTGATATCGGTGACCTAAGGTCAGGTCAATTTCGCGACCTCCCCATTATAAGTCAATGGGGGAAAAATCAACTCCCTGTTTTTACCACTAAAACGGGTCGGAATGGCCCCATATACCATACATGACTTCATATACGATCAACCTTCACTACCTTGAGGTCTGTTTTGCTGTTGGGCAGCTGTGAGGTCATGTGACGTCATCAAAGGTCACCAAAGGTTTTTGGCCAATAACTCCGTACAGGAACAAGATACAGACGCGTGGATGGTCTCATTGTGTTCAGCTCGTCAAGACGCATCGAATGATATACATGATGACCTCGAGGTCACGTGACCTGAGGTCAACCTTTGACCTTGACCTTTCGAGGTCAACATATATATCATTCGATGCGGATTGACGAGAGGATCACGATGAGGCCCTTAGTTTGTTCCTATCTCGACTAATTCGAAAGTTATTCGAGAAAAACTATCTCCATATTTAGCGCCGCCATTTTGACTTTTTCGACCCCTGTGACGTCATCTTTGACCTGACCTGAAAATGACCTTAGTAAAAATTGTAGATCTTGACCGTGCGTATCCGATGCCGTTTACCGCTTGTCGCTATCTTGCTTCGTTCTCGAGATCTCAGGGGGGGGGCGGTCATCCGCCCCCCCCCCCCCGTCGGTACTAAGTTGGCGCAGACCCCCGTCGGTGCGCGGGTTAAAAGGCTACACGATCAGCTGATCCCGTAGTAAACGTCAGTAAGGTCGAAAACTCTATCACGCATAACGGAACATTCGCCTTTCTGGTTTGAGAGCTTATGAGACAGCCAGGTCAAGCATGTTCTCTGATTCTGAAGCTTTGTCTCAACTGGGTGACTTGTGATCGCTAACGCTCACATAATTTGCCATAAAATTTGGGGTCGATCACAGGAGATTCGTGGCTAAAGAGCATCTAGAAGCTATGCTTTAGAAGAAATGAGTTCAGAGAGTTTGAAGTCACAGAGAGGTAAGAGAGTTGAAGTTGGAGGTCACAATTGGAGGTTACAGAGGTCATCTGGGACACGTCAGGTCACAGAAGTCAACTTGGGGACACGTCAGGTCACAGAGGTTAACTTTGGGTCATCACAGAGCTCAATTGGAGGTCAACTGGGACACGTCAGGTCACAAGAGTCAGCTTGGGGTCATCAAAGAGCTCAATTGGAGGTCACGGAGGTCATCTGGGACACGTCAAGTCACAGAGGTCAACTTGGGGTCATCACAGAGCTCAATTGGAGGTCATATGGGTCATCTGAGATACGTCAGGTCACAGAGGTCAACTTGGGGGTTATCACAGAGCTCTATTGGAGGTCATGGGGGTCATATGAGACACGTCAGGTCACAGAGGTCAACTTGAGGTCACCACAGGGCTCAATTGTAGGCCATCTGGGGACACTTCAGGTCACAGAGGTCAACTTGGGGTCATCAGAGACCTCAATTTGAGATCAGCTGGGACACGTCAGGTCACAGAAGTCAGCTTGGGGTTATCAGAGGTCACTTAGAGGTCATAGAGGTCATCTGGGACACGTCAGGTCAGAGAGGTCAACTTGGGGTCATCACAGAGCTCAATTTGAGATCATCTGGGACACGTCTGGTCACAGAGGTCAGCTTGGGCTCATCACAGAGCTCAATTGGGACACGTCAGGTCACAGAGGTCAGCTCGGAGTCATGAGAGAGCTCAATTGGAGGTCATATAGGACTCGTCAGGTCACAGAGGTCAACTTGGGGTCATCACAAAACTCGGAAGTCATCTGAGACACGTCAGGTCACAGAGGTCAGCTCGGAGTAATGAGAGAGCTCAATGGGAGGTCACGGAGGTCATCTGAGACACGGCAGATCACAGAGGTCAACTGGGGTCATCACAGAGCTAAATTGGAGTCATGGGGGCCATCTGAGACACGTCGTTTTTGGAATTGGGAGAATCTTTTGGGGGATGCCCCTCGCAACGTCCAAGATCGCCTTTCTGGACTCGCCAGTAGTTGCTGGAATGATATAAGGCTGCTTTGTATCCCTGAATACCCCAATGAATTTGAATATAACATATTATGCACCATTTTTAACACTCGCTGGCACGGATTGAGGCCTCACAGATGACCCGTCGGTTCAAGCTCTATAACTCGCGTTAGCGTCAACGGATTGTAACCAAATTTTAACTCAAGTTCAAACAATTTTACACTAACCATGTAAATTTCGTGACCATGGCCCGAATGACCTGTGACCTGTGACCTCTTCCTCAAAGCAAGGTTAGCTTACGACACAACTTACGACTGCTATTTCAAATTCGTAAGTTGTGTCGCAAATCAGGCAACTTGCGACAGGCTTTACTACTTAAAGGGACTATCCCACCTTTAACATGGGGTTTGAGTTGAGATAGCCAAGTTTGCGGCGAGGTTCAGAAACCTATATCTATCTAGGTTGCAACCCCCGCGGCCTCCTGGTGTTGAAGAAATTCGTTCCCTTCATTTGAAAATGGGCCTTGTACAAGGCCCTATCTTCAACATGGAGCGACCGTTAGTGTGACGTCACCTCGTTTAGTCGTTCTGATTTAAATGGGTTTGTTCGTTGAAAAATCGCTTAAAACTTGGTCTGAACTTTGTTGTGGTGCCTACAAAGTAAAAAGAATCTGCTTTATGACAGTAATGTGGCCTGGGGAAGGAGGTAATTTTGGGCTGTGACGTCACATATTTGAAAGTTTGTGTTTGGAATATGGGAAGTCTAAGATGTTTAATGAAAAATAAATGCCAGAACCGTGTTCCTGGTCATCCAATCTATAAAGTCGGGCACAATTTAACTGGTTTTAATAACATTTTAGAAGGTGGGATAGTCCCTTTAAGTAACGCTACTCATCGATTGATCCCTCCAAAAACGACTTACTACACAACTTGCGACACGTCGCAGTTACGACGAGGCTTACGACGCTCTGGATTCCTCCGGCCAAAAAGATCTTTTCGCTTCATGTCTTGTTAAAGATTTTGAGTTTGTCGTTTCGTTAGCACGACGTCCCCTAAACCTGCACCTGTCTACTGCTTTTTTTTTGCCACCCCGAACAAGAACGACTGAGGAGGGGGGGGGGGGGCTTGATACGACCCCACTTACGTTTCGCTCCCATGGAACTAAAAACAGCAAATTTTCATGGGAAAGGGGCTCATGAGTCCTCGCTCCCTAACTACATCAATATTTAGAGGGTTTGCATGATAAAAGCCAGCATTAAAAATAAAAATGGCGCTTTTCAGCACGAAACGCTACGTGTCTCGAAAAAAAAAACATAAAAGCTAGAACAATTAAGATAGCATTCGATAACTTAGAACAAGCCCTATCGAGCTTTATCAAAATATTTTGTCTCAATACGTTAAGCTCAAGATTTCACCAAAGGAGACGCAGTGAGTGTTGCTTAAATACTTTTTTTGCATATGACATTTCATATGTAACAGATTTAGCAAAATTGCAAACGAGGCCGAGGGTAGACGAGGTTGGGTGGCGGGCGGCGCTTCACGCCGCCATCGAGCTGCTATTGCAAAAAAAAAAATCACCCATGGGTCGGATTCCCTCCCTCCTCAGACGGACGTGAGTAAAGGCATTCTCGCATGGACAATGCAGTTATTGAGCGATACGCTTATTATCCTGCATCGATCGCAGTGCTTCAATAAATGCATATGAACTCACCTATGCAATTGCCCTCCCACTATAAAACTTCAGGCCGGACTATAGTCTGTTCCATATCAAGCTTGCGGTCGGAGTCCCCTTGGCAGTTCCAGGCAATTCGCTGAGCGCGCTACTCCATTCAATAATTTGAGTCTTAGAATGTAAGATGTATGCACAGAAATCACGCACTGCCTTCAACAGAGCACTTCAGCCGCAAGCTTGACATGGAACACACTATAGATGTAGTGAATGCGCCTCACCTCCTTCATCGTCCTCTTGGCGATCATCAGCCGGACCGCCCTCATTTTCAGAGCCTGGCTCGTCGAAGTCCTCTGAAAAACCGTCTCTGTCAGATTTAAGAATATGTGTGATGCAAAATAAGTGCCTGCCATAATGGGCAAGCATTTCTGAAAAAAAAACGCTGAACGGAACATATGTGCTACGGTGGTACCCGGACTGCTTTGGCTATCCGCGCTCGTCCTTAATCTGAAGTACAGCACCATGGGTCTGCATATAACCTAGTAGTACCAGTGAACTTTAACGGTCTTACATTGCCTTCGCTCTGTACGATTCTCTTCATGGTGTTATTGCATTGCCTCTTTAACACTACATTGCAAATTAATGCTTTAACTGCATGAAATGTCTGCTAAAATGACAGACGAATGGTGATGTTACGATTAGCACATGTACAAACGATTAGTTACCTTCAGTGAGCATCTCCTCCAGGCTCCGTCCGCTATATTTTGAGAGGCATCCTTCGTCCAGCTTCATCATCAGGATGGAGGCACGCGTCAGTTCGTGAGTAGCGTCTGACAGTCTGTAGTACCCACGATGCACGTCTTTGTCATGTCCCATGTGCCGGGTGAGCACCTCCATATCGAATTCACCCATCTCTAGAATCTGGGACGTTGTAGCACAATATTTCCGTAGTTTTGTTGCATGGAAGAGATCTGCCCTGTTTAGTGCCATGTCCGACAACTGCTCTTTAAGCACCACGCCTGCGTTGTAGTGTCCTGTAGTCCTCGCCAGAGGGTTTGCGAACAGATACTTGTTATCCTTGTCAATGTACGTCTCCCGGTTGTCTACCAGTAGCTGCAGCGGAGCCGCGCAGTCGCTCGGTATCAGGGTGGGGACCTTGTTCCCGCACTTGCCGCGGGACATGACGACGTCGAGCTCGTTGAACAACTTCTTTTCTGTTTCACCCATTGACTTGTTCACTTCTTCTACCGTCTCTTGTTTGTACATCTCTCGGTTGATCCATGATTGCAGCAGGATGCTGCTAAGCTCCTTAGGACGGCGTTTGTTGAATACTAGCAAACGGGCGAGAACCGCTTTGCTCAGCCTTGCATAGTCTGTCATGCCATGTATTCCCTTTTCTGTCATTTCTTTCACTCGTTCCTTCATTTTTTCGGTGAAAAGCTTCAAATCGCTGGTAAAGGGCAGCATGTCTTTCTTGTCATACTTGTTCGACTCGCGGTTCTTCAGCGCTACGCTGCTGATCTTCACATTCCAGAATTGGTCCACGTGATACAAGAACGCCTCAGCATCTTTCACTTCGCTTTCTTCTTTCTTGATCAGCGCAATGCCCTTCTTGAGAGCAGCCAGCTGTCGTAGTTCGCCTCCAATCCGCATGGCCTTTGAAGGAGTTTTGTATGTGGGCAGCCCCGTGTGGGCGTTTAGCTTGTCCTGCTCAAACCCACAGACGGATTTGGTGGCACTTACAACCGTATCAAATCCTTCGCCATTGATCAGCTCTTGCATGCTCTTTCCGGCTGCTTGGACAACTTCGCCCATCATCCTTAGGCGCTGGCTTATCTGCGCAAAACCCGACCTTCCAAGTTTCGCGTGCAAGTTGGCACCCCACTTCTTCAGGAGTTCATCGTTCTTTATGGTCTTCGTAACTGCATCGTCGTGCATACGAGACAATATGTCCTTGTGATACCCAGTATTTTCTTCTTGGCCGTCACTCAGGAGCGTCCGGCTCTCTGCCAGCACCGTGGGAATGTCTGGGCATTCTGTTTTGCGAGCCACACAGTGATGTTTTATGTGCTGCATCATGTTGGTTTTAACCACAAAAAGATAGCAGTAAGGACATGGCACGTAGTCGTCCACGGACGCCTGGTCCGACTTCCTTCCCAAGATCATGTCACCTTCACCCCTTTGTAGGACGAGTTTGTTGTGCTCCATGTTGCCTTTGTTGATCATCACGGTGATTTTCATTTTTCGTTCCTGCTCAGAATCACACTCCTGTATATCCTTGACTTCCTTCTCGTCACGGTGGACCGTCTTGATATGGCGCCATATCAGATTTCTCTTTTGCTTGCAATATATGCAAACATTTTTTTTCCGCACTTCGCCGCACGATGCGCCGTTCCTCGCCGACTGAGATGTACGCGACTGAGAACTGTGCTGGGGCGGAGCCACCTCAACACCGTCGCTGACATCAGACTCAGCTCCCTGTTCTCCGTATTCGTTCTCCTCCAAATGGTGGTTCTCGGGAGCCGTGATCTCTGTTTGATTGCACATCAAGTGCTCAGGAAAAGTCCATGTGCCATGGTCCCCTGCATCCTGGACTGAAGCCCTCGAAGTAGAGCAGGTGGGTGACATAAGGTCGTACTCGCTTGCAGAGAACGGCGTCATGTCGATCAGTTCAGTTGGCAGTGCTGTTGAATAAGAGGTTTTTACTGACCCACAAACTCCCGTCTCAGAGGTAGGTGGGGAAACACGAGACGGGGCTCCAACCGTCGCCCCAGTAGTTGTACACAGATGAAGAGCATCCCATCTTCTAGCGTCCGGGGTCGGGACGGGCGGCAGGCCTCCAGCCGCAGTCTCGGAAGTCGCACGCAGATGACGGGCATCAGCCCGCCTTCCCGCTTCAGAGGTCGGGACGGGCGGCGGGGCTCTGGCCGCAGTCTCAGAAGTCTCACGCAGATGATGAGCACCCCACCTTCTAGCGTCCGCGGTCGGGACGGGCGGCGGGCCTCCGGTCGCAGTCTCAGAAGTCTCACGCAGATAAAGAGCATCCCACCTTCCAGCGTCCGGGGTCGGGACGGGCGGCGGGGCTCCGGTCGCAGTCTCAGAAGTCTCACGCAGATGAAGAGCATCCCACCTTCTAGCGTCCGGGGTCGGGACGGGCGGCGGGCCTCCGGTCGCAGTCTCAGAAGTCTCACGCAGATGAAGAACATCCCACCTTCCAGCGTCCGGGGTCGGGACGGGCGGCGGGGCTCCGGTCGCAGTCTCAGAAGTCTCACGCAGATGAAGAGCATCCCACCTTCCAGCGTCAGAGGTCGGGACGGGCGGCGGGGCTCTGGCCGCAGTCTCAGAAGTCTCACGCAGATGATGAGCATCCCACCTTCCAGCGTCCGGGGTCGGGACGGGCGGCGGGGCTCCGGTCGCAGTCTCAGAAGTCTCACGCAGATGATGAGCATCCCATCTTCTAGCGTCCGGGGTCGGGACGGGCGGCGGGCCTCCGGTCGCAGTCTCAGAAGTCTCACGCAGATGAAGAGCATCCCACCTTCTAGCGTCCGGGGTCGGGACGGGCGGCGGGCCTCCGGTCGCAGTCTCAGAAGTCTCACGCAGATGAAGAGCATCCCACCTTCTAGCGTCCGGGGTCGGGACGGGCGGCGGGGCTCTGGCCGCAGTCTCAGAAGTCTCACGCAGATGAAGAGCATCCCACCTTCCAGCGTCCGGGGTCGGGACGGGCGGCGGGGCTCCGGTCGCAGTCTCAGAAGTCTCACGCAGATGAAGAGCATCCCACCTTCTAGCGTCCGGGGTCGGGACGGGCGGCGGGCCTCCGGTCGCAGTCTCAGAAGTCTCACGCAGATGAAGAGCATCCCACCTTCCAGCGTCCGGGGTCGGGACGGGCGGCGGGGCTCCGGTCGCAGTCTCAGAAGTCTCACGCAGATGAAGAGCATCCCACCTTCCAGCGTCAGAGGTCGGGACGGGCGGCGGGGCTCTGGCCGCAGTCTCAGAAGTCTCACGCAGATGATGAGCATCCCACCTTCCAGCGTCCGGGGTCGGGACGGGCGGCGGGGCTCCGGTCGCAGTCTCAGAAGTCTCACGCAGATGAAGAGCATCCCACCTTCTAGCGTCCGGGGTCGGGACGGGCGGCGGGCCTCCGGTCGCAGTCTCAGAAGTCTCACGCAGATGAAGAGCATCCCACCTTCCAGCGTCCGGGGTCGGGACGGGCGGCGGGGCTCCGGTCGCAGTCTCAGAAGTCTCACGCAGATGAAGAGCATCCCACCTTCCAGCGTCAGAGGTCGGGACGGGCGGCGGGGCTCTGGCCGCAGTCTCAGAAGTCTCACGCAGATGATGAGCATCCCACCTTCCAGCGTCCGGGGTCGGGACGGGCGGCGGGGCTCCGGTCGCAGTCTCAGAAGTCTCACGCAGATGAAGAGCATCCCACCTTCTAGCGTCCGGGGTCGGGACGGGCGGCGGGCCTCCGGTCGCAGTCTCAGAAGTCTCACGCAGATGAAGAGCATCCCACCTTCCAGCGTCCGGGGTCGGGACGGGCGGCGGGGCTCCGGTCGCAGTCTCAGAAGTCTCACGCAGATGAAGAGCATCCCACCTTCCAGCGTCAGAGGTCGGGACGGGCGGCGGGCCTCCGGTCGCAGTCTCAGAAGTCTCACGCAGATGATGAGCATCCCATCTTCTAGCGTCCGGGGTCGGGACGGGCGGCGGGCCTCCGGTCGCAGTCTCAGAAGTCTCACGCAGATGAAGAGCATCCCACCTTCCAGCGTCCGGGGTCGGGACGGGCGGCGGGCCTCCGGTCGCAGTCTCAGAAGTCTCACGCAGATGATGAGCATCCCATCTTCTAGCGTCCGGGGTCGGGACGGGCGGCGGGCCTCCGGTCGCAGTCTCAGAAGTCTCACGCAGATGATGAGCATCCCATCTTCTAGCGTCCGGGGTCGGGACGGGCGGCGGGGCTCCGGTCGCAGTCTCAGAAGTCTCACGCAGATGAAGAGCATCCCACCTTCCAGCGTCAGAGGTCGGGACGGGCTGCGGGGCTCCGGTCGCAGTCTCAGAAGTCTTACGCAGATGAAGAGCATCCCACCTTCCAGCGTCAGAGGTCGGGACGGGCAGTGGGGCTCCGGTCGCAGTCTCAGAAGTCTCACGCAGATGAAGAGCATCCCACCTTCCAGCGTCCGGGGTCGGGACGGGCGGCAGGGCTCCGGCCGCAGTCTCAGAAGTCTCACGCAGATGAAGAGCATCCCACCTTCCAGCGTCAGAGGTCGGGACGGGCGGCGGGGCTCTGGCCGCAGTCTCAGAAGTCTCACGCAGATGAAGAGCATCCCACCTTCCAGCGTCCGGGGTCGGGACGGGCGGCGGGGCTCCGGTCGCAGTCTCAGAAGTCTCACGCAGATGAAGAGCATCCCACCTTCTAGCGTCCGGGGTCGGGACGGGCGGCGGGCCTCCGGTCGCAGTCTCAGAAGTCTCACGCAGATGAAGAGCATCCCACCTTCCAGCGTCCGGGGTCGGGACGGGCGGCGGGGCTCCGGTCGCAGTCTCAGAAGTCTCACGCAGATGAAGAGCATCCCATCTTCCAGCGTCAGAGGTCGGGACGGGCGGCGGGGCTCTGGCCGCAGTCTCAGAAGCCTCACGCAGATGAGCATCCCACGTTCTAGCGTCAGAGGTCGGGACGGGCGGCGGGGCTCTGGCCGCAGTCTCAGAAGTCTCACGCAGATGATGAGCATCCAACCTTCCAGCGTCCGGGGTCGGGACGGGCGGCGGGCCTCCGGTCGCAGTCTCAGAAGTCTCACGCAGATGAAGAGCATCCCACCTTCCAGCGTCCGGGGTCGGGACGGGCGGCGGGGCTCCGGTCGCAGTCTCAGAAGTCTCACGCAGATGAAGAGCATCCCACCTTCCAGCGTCCGGGGTCGGGACGGGCGGCGGGCCTCCGGTCGCAGTCTCAGAAGTCTCACGCAGATGATGAGCATCCAACTTTCTAGCGTCCGGGGTCGGGACGGGCGGCGGGCCTCCGGTCGCAGTCTCAGAAGTCTCACGCAGATGAAGAGCATCCCATCTTCCAGCGTCCGGGGTCGGGACGGGCGGCGGGCCTCCGGTCGCAGTCTCAGAAGTCTCACGCAGATGAAGAGCATCCCACCTTCCAGCGTCCGGGGTCGGGACGGGCGGCGGGGCTCCGGTCGCAGTCTCAGAAGTCTCACGCAGATGAAGAGCATCCCATCTTCTAGCGTCCGGGGTCGGGACGGGCGGCGGGGCTCCGGTCGCAGTCTCAGAAGTCTCACGCAGATGAAGAGCATCCCATCTTCTAGCGTCCGGGGTCGGGACGGGCGGCGGGGCTCCGGTCGCAGTCTCAGAAGTCTCACGCAGATGAAGAGCATCCCACCTTCCAGCGTCAGAGGTCGGGACGGGCGGTGGGGCTCTGGCCACAGTCTCAGAAGTCTCACGCAGATGAGCATCCCACGTTCTAGCGTCAGAGGTCGGGACGGGCGGCGGGGCTCTGGCCGCAGTCTCAGAAGTCTCACGCAGATGATGAGCATCCAACCTTCTAGCGTCCGGGGTCGGGACGGGCGGCGGGCCTCCGGTCGCAGTCTCAGAAGTCTCACGCAGATGAAGAGCATCCCACCTTCCAGCGTCAGAGGTCGGGACGGGCTGCGGGGCTCCGGTCGCAGTCTCAGAAGTCTCACGCAGATGATGAGCATCCCACCTTCTAGCGTCCGGGGTCAGGACGGGCGGCGGAGCTCCGTCCATCGCATGGGTAGCCGGTCGCAGCTCATGAGTCGTCATAGTCAAGTCAAGTCCAGGATATTTGTGGTATACATGATACTCAGTGGTGTGAGGAGGGGTTTCATCCACGCGGCCGGCTGACCCAGGAGATGAAGGGAGGACTTCTGGAAAGAAAAGATATGGCAACGCATAAGGAAGCATGGCGGTAGGAGGATGAATGCTGTCTTGATTTTTTAACCATCACCAGTGATTCGGCGAGTGATTTTAAAATGTAGGATCAGGTAGTGAGCCAAAAAAAGAACAATGTCTAAAGAAAAACCAGAAAAACGATTGAATTATGATGTGTTGATTAGCATAGATACAAGTAGATTTGGGTGGACTGAGTAACTGGTAACAACACAAATGTAGGCACCATAGTCACGTCTTACCTCGTCCATTTTTACGTGAGTGACGCTGCGCGCCTTTATGTCTGCCACGGGAGTGGAGAGCAGCAAGCAGCATCCTCTTCCCATATGATCCAGCTATGCGCCCTGTCAAATATTGATAGCTATTAGCTAACATAAAATACTAAAGGAAGTTTCCCAGCCAGCAATTGGTTTGGCTCAAGTCCGTTTTGCCCTAGCGACTCCGGCACGCCAGATTTGGGCCGGTGTAAACGGAACGCCGTCGGAATAAGAGTTTGGGTCGATATGGCTCTATTCCGGTTAACCAGTCTTTGCCGTAGCGTTCCGGAGCTAGTATGGCTTCGGACCGACAAGTCCGGCCGGCACTAGCGAGCGGTGGCCTGACCTGACCTTGCCGGAGGGGCCGTGACGTCACCGGCGGGCGGTCAGAGCGAGTCGGCAGAGCCTCACTCTACGCGGCCCGAGCGAGCAGTGAGGATCGGTGAATAGGACATAGGGGAGGGAGGGGAGGGGAGGGGAGGGAGGGGAGAGAGAGAGAGAGAGAGAGAGAGAGAGAGAGAGAGAGAGAGAGAGAGAGAGAGAGAGAGAGAGAGAGAGAGAGAGAGAGAGAGAGAGAGAGAGGCGGCCGGCCAATAATTAGGCAGCCAACACTGAGTTGAATGAAGCACACGATGCTGACAACGTTACGGAGTTAACTATAAGATAATGTCATGCGTTTAATGTGATTGGATTTTTCACTTAAATGCTTTCTTCCTTTGTGACCCACAACCCCTAATTTGGGGAGGACAAGCTGCCCCAACGGTTCCTGACCTTATGAAAAGTTGTGGGGCACCGCCCCCACGGCCCCAGAGTTGTGGGGGCTAGCTGCCCCACTGCCCCCGGTTCCCGCGCCTATGTATGAATCTATGAAATTATGT